TTGGTTCCCCAGGTGTCTGGGGCCCCAAGACTAGGAATGTTGCAGGGCCCAAACTAGGAGTATAGAACGTCGGCAAGGATGAAGGGTGAATGTGGCTTAGTGAGCCTTAGGGAGCCCCGGCTCGGAGGGCTGCGCTATAGACTTACCCCAAGAGGTCTGAGGCTTGTAGTGCAGGCTAGAAGAGTTAGTCGGTGGTGCAGGCCCAGGGAAGCAGAGAGAGGTGAGGGCAGGGCCAGGACCAGAAGCGGTGCTCCTGGGGCCCAAGAAAGGAACTGAGTTGGTCTGGGTGAGAAGGATCAGGAAGCAGTGTTGGTTCCCCAGGTGTCTGGGGCCCCAAGACTAGGAATGGTGCAGGGCCCAAACTAGGAGTATAGAACGGCGGGGGGGGGGGTGGAAGGGGGAATGTGGCTTAGGGGGGCCTGGGGGGGGGAGGGCTGCGCTATAGACTTACCCCAAGAGGCCTGAGGATAGTAGTGCAGGCTAGGAGAGTTAGCCAGAAATATTTTTTTAAATGTTCAAAATCCTTAGCCATCAGGGAAATTAAAATTACCTTGAGATTTCATCTTACCCCAGTCAGAATGGATAAGATTAAAAAATGATGACAAATGCAGATGTGGATACTGGAAAAGGGGAACACAATACTGCTGGTGGGATTTCCAATAGACACAGCCACTATGAAAATCAGTGTGGGGTTTCCTCAAAAAGCTATAATTAGATCTATCACATGATCCAGCTATACCACTTTTAGGCAAATACCCAAAGGAGTCTCTCTTACTGTAGAGATATCTGCTCAGTCATGTTCATTGCTGCTCTATTATCAATAGCCAGGAAATGAAAACAGCCAAGATCTATATCAACTGATGAGTGAACAATGAAAATGTGGCATATTCTCATAATACAATATTACTCAGCTTGTAAGAAAAGTGAAATTATGAAACTTGCAGTTAAATGGATGGAGCTGGAAACAGTCATTCTGAGTGAGGCAATTCAGACACAGAAAAAAGCTGCATGTTTTCCCTCATTTGTGAATGTTAACTTTGAGTCTTTAGGTATATGTGTTTCATTTGCTATAATCATAGAGGCCAGGAAATTAGTTAGGCATCATGGGAGGGGGGTCTTTCATGGGAGGGTATAAAGAATTAAAAGGGAATAAAGGAACAGGAAGGGTTAGATGGGGTTAGGGAAGGGAGGGCAAGGTAGAGGAGGGAATGCAGGAAAGGGTACTAACACTAAAGGCCATTTGAAAAAATTATATGGAAACCTGCTATTGCAGAAAATTCCTAAAACACATACACATGCACACGTGTATATAAAGAGTTTAAATTGAGTTATCCAATAACAGGGAAGCAATATGCCTACTAGATTCCACAGGTTAACAAACAAAAGCCCACTGCCAGGAATAGGCTACCTCTTTTGTAACTGTTGACCAGTGAGGCCCTGTAGACCCCCTAAACATCACAGGCTATTGCCAATGTTCTTGGTTACCTTTTGGAACTCAATGATAAACTAATGATTATATCAGAATTTAGATTCTGAAGTCATTTCTAAAATGGAGGGAAAGGCCAAAATATTACCAACATTTTGAAGACGAAGAAAATAAATACGGAGAGAAAAATAGAGGAATGCCCAATTTTGTTCAGCTGCCAATTAATACGCAAAGATATTGTAGGCATACATCCACGATTTAAGCTTGCTGTGCCTTGTAAATAATTAGGACATATAAAAGGACTGAGGTATGCAAAAGGGAAAACATGATAAATCAATAGAAGAAAACAGGACCTGTTACTATTTTCTAAATAAGAATATTATTAAATTTCACTTTACTTGTGATAGAAAGTAAAATACAGTGAAATAAAAGGAGTGGTCATATTTCTAATACCAGATTCTTTAAAATTTATTTGTAAAGTCTTCTGAGGTCAAATGCAGGTTTTGAGGAACACTCAATTTTCATGGTCACTTACTTTGGATGCTTCCAGACTGAACCAACTGCCTCCTGAAAATGAGACGTTATTATATTAAACCCAATGACAAATACACGTTTCTGTCTTTCATATTTAGTTAAGATAATTTTCCAAGGGAAATGCACAAAAGGATCATCTGAGGTCAAATACGGAGTACCACATCACTGTAGTAAAGGAAGCAGATCTTGTAAGATGGTAAGGTTATGTGTCAGAAACCCACAGAGGGCATGTGTCTGACCTGTGTCCCCTGAATTTCATTGTTATCTACTGCCCAAGGACCCATTCTTTCTTTACCTCCCATTCATTGTTCAACAGTCATAGCAACCTTTATTTATTTTAAATATTTTATCTATTTTTTATGTGTATGAGTATATTGAATGTGTGTGTGTAACTGCACCCAAGTCGTGCAGTGCTCATGGAGGTCAGAAGAGGGTGTTGGATCCCCTGGAACTAGAGTTGTGGACAGTTGTTAGACACAATGTGGGTGCTGAGTATTGAACCTGGGTCCTCTGCAAGACCAGTCAGTGCTCTTAATCGCTGAGGCATCTCTTCAGCCTCACATCCTTTATTTAAACACCACCTTTCAATTAGCCACTTATTTTCTCAGTTACTAATTAGTTACAACACATTTTTTTAAATCAGAAAGAATGCACATTTCCATCTCACAAACGGTATGTTATAATCACACCTTTTGGTTCTCAGTAAATTTGTGCAATGTTTATTTTTAATGTGGAAGGTATTCTTTACAAAGCTTTCTCAAGTTCTCTTCAAATATAGACTCGTCTTTGGCTCAGGATGGTTTCCTTTTAATATTTTTTCAAGTGATTTCCTGGATCTCATGTTCCCTGTTCATTTATGACATTTCTATGAGACGAGTCTTGGCTGTTCTACACCAGTGTTCCTGTTGCTTTGCTCTCAGAGAGTCTTAAGGTTTTTGGAGCTTTTGTTTTGTGCTAAAAACTTGTTCACATTTCTTCTGTAGCTTAATCCCTACCATATTTTGACACTCATTAACTTCAAACACTTCTTTTGGGCCATAAATATCACTCATCTTTTTCTATAGTAGTCTCACTAAGATTCAGTAGCATCTTAAACATATCATTTGGGGTGTTATTTCATTATTTTATGAGACAGAATCTCCCTATGGCCTTGAACTCAGGATTCTCCTGCTTCTGTCTCTGGACCTGGCCTGATTGTTTTGTTTTATTTTTAAAATGATTGCTGCTGTTAGAAATTTCCTTTTACTCCTTTCTCTCTAGGATCAGTTGTTCCCTTCCTTAGCTCCATCTCTTTCACATCGTTGGTCAGGAATCTATTGTAAGAATGCCACTCCCTGTGTTTGAGTTTTTTCCTCCACAGAATTCTTGTTTTGCATGGGAGAAGGACTCTGTGACAACAGTTGGGGCAGTTTGACAAGTAACATTCCATCAGGTGCACATGAGTGGAAAACAGGCAGGTTGGTAGGAACTCCCATAATTATCAAAGTAAGGAGAAAATTAATGTGGGAGAGGAGTAATTCCCTGAAGAGCTGAACAGCCTTTCTTTCTGCCTCCTGAGCTCCCTGGGGAGACCAGCTAGCTCCGTTTTAATTCTGCTTTTATATTTGATCCAACACACAAGTGGAACCCTGTGTAGAAAGAGCTATTTTGATATTCGGAGGTCAAGTATCTGTCCCACTTGCTTTCCACAGGCTTTTGGGAGGCTGAGTGGTCTGACTGGTTCTGTGATCTGTACACAGTACTCCAACTGACTGCTCTAGTAATTGGCCTTCCATCCACATCCACTTAATTTTTTTTTTTTTTAAATCTTAGCATTTCTCTTTGTAATGGAAGGAATAGCTCAGGCCTCTAAAGTAACTTTTTAAAAATTACAGACCTTATTTGCTGTCTTTGACTATCCTGTGTTTCCTGAATTATTCAATTTCATCTGTTTATAGTATGTGCCCTATGACCCTTTTCTGTGCTCAGCTTTATATTTATTTTTCTAATGACATGTAAAAATTATACACTAAATAAACACATGTGCTCAATCTACCACCTTGAGCCATTAGTCCTGACTAATTCATGTATTTTCTCAGGATAATATTTAATGCCCCACTAAAAGCCAATTGTCCCATTATTATCAAGGCTAACACTTGGGATCCATTTTAAAAATAACATATGTTATATTACACAAAGCCTTTGATCCCGTTCACTGTTTAATCTGGAAGTCTTTAGACAAATTTCTTTACATCCTTGTTTTCCAACTGAAGTCTCAATCAGTTTTTTTTCTTCCTTCTTAACTCAGTGAATTTAAATTGAAAAATTTCAGAAAGCAATAGTCCCTTATACTAAGATGGTTTGAAGGTTGCCTGACTTTGGTTAAAAAGAGATTTAATGCAAGCCTCCAGTTTAGCTTGGAGGACTGAGTCAGCCCTGTAATGACAGGTTTTCCTGGACCGGCAGGGCACCCTTGTGGTTCAGCCTCTGCTTTACATCAGGTGACTAAAGGACCAGCAGCAAACAAAAGAAAGGTAAACTATACTTTGTTCTGTTGGAAAACTTTTAAGATTGCTTTTAGAAATGTCTTCTTAGAGCAGTTAGAAGAAAACTAATTTTCATTTATTTGAATATTGCAATTTCTGTTTTAGCCTAACTTTACTGTTCCAGTGAAGTTCTTTTCAAAAACCTGAGCTGTTTTGGGGAATCCAGTACCTTAAAAAATACATCTGTCACTGAGAGTTGTAAATGAAATTTTAGTTAATTTTCTATTTATTATAGATCTGAAAATACTTTTATCACTAGTCAAGGCTGGTTTTGTTTCTCTTTTATGTGCATAGTTTTTTGGAAAAGCAACTTTTTGAAATATGCTGAATTATCATGACTTAATACTTTACTGGTGACAGCTTTAAATTGTATTCCACAAAGTAGGCTAGGAAACTAACTGCAACAAAGCCATGGTCTGTGTGGCTTTATGAGAGATCCACAGTTTTAATATATTTATAACTGATAGCTTTGAAAAATTCATCATGCTAATGATTTCCTTTCCAGTAGAAGTTTATTTAATAAAAATAATCATTTTCATAATCTTCAAATATGTTTCTTTTATAATTCATTTTATCATTATTATATCCACTCTAATGATTAATAGTAGAGAGTTTTTATTTACAACAGATACTTCAGTTCTTAGAAAACATGTAACATTGAAAAGATTCAGAAAATGAATTTTTTTTGGTCTTTTTGAGACAGGGTCTCCCTGTAAGCCCTAGCTGTCCTGGAACTCAGTATATAGACCAGGCTGGCCTGGAACTCACAGATATCCGCCTGCTTCTGCCTCCCAAGTGCTGGGACTACAGGCGTGTACCACCAGGCCTGCCAGAAAATGAATATTTTTAAAGATGAAATTAAATTTAAAGCTTTTCTAAATACTGATAATATTAAATGACTGAACATTTAAAAATGATATTTAGTAGCCACTTTATAAGAGAACTCTTTTACCATTTGGGAAAAGGATAAATAGAAACATGCATGTATAAATAGATTTTTCCAGAAAAGAAAGGATAACTACAAAATATCATGAAAAAGAAATCTTAAGTCATTAATTCTATTGGAGAAATGAAATCTTAAAGTAA